CCCGCTTCGGCCTCCAAAGTGCTGAGACTGCAGGCGTGAGCCACCGTGCGTGGCCGAGGTTTGTATTTATTTAATTTTTTTTTTTTTTTTTTTTGAGACGGAGTCTTGCTCTGTCACCCAGGCTGGAGTGCAGTGGCCGGATCTCAGCTCACTGCAAGCTCCGCCTCCCGGGTTCACGCCATTCTCCTGCCTCAGCCTCCCGAGTAGCTGGGACTACAGGCGCCCGCCACCGCGCCCGGCTAGTTTTTTGTATTTTTAGTAGAGACGGGGTTTCACCGTGTTAGCCAGGATGGTCTCGATCTCCTGACCTCGTGATCCGCCCGCCTCGGCCTCCCAAAGTGCTGGGATTACAGGCTTGAGCCACCGCGCCCGGCCTTGAGCCACCGCGCCCGGCCCGAGGTTTGTATTTTAAACAAAAGGTCTGTTACTCCTTGAATGGGGACGACATTGAAAAGTCCCTTGGCCGGGTGTGCTGGCTCACACCTGTAATCCCAGCACTTTGGGAGGCTGGGGTGGGGGTGGGGGGGGGTGGATCACGAGGTCAGGAGTTCGAGAACAGCCTGACCAACATGGTGAAACTCCATCTCTACTAAAAATAAACAAAAAACAAAACAAAACAAAAAACGAAAAGTAGCTGAGTGTGGTGGCAGGTGCCTGTAATTCCAGCTACTCAGGAGGCTGAGGCAGGAGAATCACTTGAACCCGAGAGGCAGAGATTGCAGTGAGCTGAGATTGCGCCACTGCACTCCAGCCTGGGTAACGCAGCGAGACTCCATCAAAAAAAAAAAAAAGAAAGAAAGAAGAAAAGGAAAGAAAAGAAAAATCCCCTCATTGACTGGGCATGGTGGTTCACACCTGTAATCCTAGCACTTTGGGAGGCCAAGGTGGGCAGATCACGAGGTCAGGAGTTTGAGACCAGCCTGGCCAGTATACATGGTATACCCACATGTACATGCACACATGAATTGAGCATGTGCAAACATCCAAACTGGGTATACATGCGTGTACATGCACAGTAGATGGTACACATGCATGTGTGCAAACACACTGGAGCTGGTAAATGTGCATGCACACACACGAGTTGGATATACACACATGTACATGCACACCTAAACGGTATACTCATGTGTACATGCACACCAGATGGTATATGTGCATGTGTACAGACACACTCGAGCTGGGTATACATGCATGTATGCACACACAAGCTGGGTATCAAACCCCGTCTCTACTAAAAATACAAAAATTAGCTGGGCCATGGTGGTGCCCCCCTGTAGTCCCAGCTCCTCGGGAGGCTGAAGCAGGAGAATTGCTGGAACCCGGGAGGTGGAAGTTGCAGTGAGCCGAGATTGTGCCACTGCACTCCAGCCTGGGCAGCAGAGCGAGACTCCGTCTCAAAAACAAAAACAAAAACAAAAGTCCCTCATTTAGGTTCATCTGTGGCACTCAGGGCCACTGGACAGAGCCAGGATTTCTATCTCTGTGTGTGCAGTTCCGGGATTCTGCAGTGAGGTCAGATGGGCCCATGATAAAGGCCTCTAAGGAGAAAGGTGAATTCTTCCATTGCCTGAAGGGGAGGCAGGGGCTGGGTCTTGCCAGGCCTTTACTGGAACTGGTGGTCTAAGCTACGCATCTGCCTCTGCGAGTGTCAGCCCAGTTGGGGCCGCTCACCAGAGTGACAGGAGGCCACCTGAGTTTTCCCCGGGGATTCTAGTCCAACGCTAGCAGGGAGGGGAAACATGCCCCTCAATGCATCTGCTCACTTACACCATCACCTCCTCCACCCCCCAGCAGACACCAATTCCCCCGTGTGCGCACATGTGTATATACCCAGCTCATGTGTTTGTGCACATGCATGTACACCCAGCTTGGGTGTGCCTGCACGTGTGCCCAAGAAGGATGTGCAATTCATGATTCATGACCACAGGCTGGTGGCCAGGGGGGTCGGGGGTGAGTAGCATGGTGGGGAGCTTCGGAACAAGGGACGGGTCCTGGTCGGGTACAGAGGCCAACTCCCTACACCTGCAAGACAGGGTCCAGGGGGCTACAGCCAGCCTCCTCCCAGAGGCCCCCAAGGCCCGGCATTCACTCTGCTTGCCACACTAGCCTCCTGGGCCATGATGTCTGTGACTTTGCAGGGCAGTGACCCTCCCAGCTCTGCCAGCCACTCATTCACTAGCCACAGCAGCTGTCCTCACTTTGTGCCTGGCTCTGCTACGGTGACACCTCCTCACTGGCCACTCCCCATGAAGCTGGGCACCAGGGCCCTACTCAACCCCTCAAGCAGAGCTGCCCTGCTCTGGTCTCAGGGCCAGGGCCTGGTGCTAAACCCGCCCTGGCACCCAGTGGGCATCGGCACGTGTGTGCTGAGGGTTAGAGAGGTGCCGTGGCCCCATTCCTCCACCAGCCCCTGCCTTTGAAAGCTGCAGGAGCTAATTAGGGCTTTCTTCTTGATCACCTACATTCTGCACCCCCGGGCACCGTCACGATGCGCTCCTCTCTCCCTCCCTCTCCATTCTGTCCTTTGGGGCCTGGATCTCACTGGAAGTGAAGACGATGGCAGAGGGCCGTGTGGTGGAGAACCTCACAGCACTGGTAGGAGGAGGACAGATGCCCTGCAGGAGCCTAGAGCCCAGGGCAAGACAAAGGGACCTCTCCTGCCAAAGCTGGAAATCTAGAAATGTCTCCTGCAGCTCCCAGACCCCTCAAAGCCTGGCTGGAGCGCAGCGCCCGGGGAGCGCACAGAGGTGGAGCTGCGGGCCCTGTCACGTGCACAGATTGAATAATTCAGATTTAAAAGACCTACTTTCCCATTAGACCATTTCCTGCTGAGGAGCAGGTGGGGGTGGGGCATCTGAATTGTGTCTCCCGCTCCCAGGGGTTTTAGAGAAGGCCTGGTGTGGAGCCAGTATCGGGGCAGCCACCTCCGCCCTGGGGCCCAGCTCAGTCCTGCCCTGGGTTGGGCACAGCTGACCGGGTATGGCTCTGGACTTAGGGACCCAGAGCTGACTGGGTGTGGCTCTGGACTCAGGAACCCAGGCTGATCTCTGAGATCCTTGCAGAGAAGGGAGTGTTACTGGGAAGCGTTTGCTCTGCCAGGGAGAGGGTGGGGCGGTAGGTGAGGGCCAAAAGACACAAGAGGCCTGGGCTGAAAGGAATGGAGGTGGGGAAGGGAGGGCAGGTCTGAGCCCGGCTCTAGACCCCCCGGGCCACCAAGGGCTCGGGTGTTTCTTATCTCTAGGGATGGGCTCTGGCTGGAGGCGAGAAGCATCTTTGCGGTCACACCGTACTCAGGGCAGACGCCCCTACCTTCCAGGGACTGTGTACTGCAGAGGGCAGCCCCAGGCTGCAGTAAGGACCTGGGAGTAAGCACCTGGGCCCCTGCTCCTTCCTCTCAACTTTGCCTTCCATAAACCATCAAATAGGATTTCTGCCTGGACTATGGGGCAAGTTCCAGGGACAGCCCTGCCTCACCATGATGACCTACAGATAAGCTGGAGGTGCTGGGGCTGCACCCTGCCCCTTGGATATGGCTAAGGCAGGCACTGGCCTGGCGTCCTCCTGTGTGGCCTTCCTCCATGGCCTTGGCTGTAACGAGATGGGCTGACCAGTCTGATGGTGGCCTGTGGGACAAGGGAGCCCCAGAGCACAGCCCTGCCACTGACCAGTCTGGCCCGCAGTGTGGTGGCCACTCCTCCTGAGGCTCCTCCATGGCCCTGGGCCAGGCTTGCAGGGACCTTCCGGGGCCCCTCCCATCCCACAGCTGCTGGAAGGTCTCTGGTGACAAACGGCTGCTGCCTCAGCCTCCTCTCCCTGCTCCTCAGTTCCATTTTTTTTTTTTTTTTTTTTGAGACGGAGCCTCGCTCTGTCCCCCTGGCTGGAGTGCAGTGGCGCGATCTCGACTCACTGCAAGCTTCGCCTCCCGGGTTCCCGCCATTCTCCTGCCTCAGCTTCCTGAGGAGCTGGGACTACAGGTGCCCGCCACCTCCCCCGGCTAGTTTTTTGTATTTTTAGTAGAGACGGGGTTTCACCGTGGTCTCCATCTCCTGACCTTGTGATCCGCCCGCCTCGGCCTCCCAAAGTGTTGTGATTACAGGCGTGAGCCACCGCGCCCGGCCTAGTTCCACTTTTAACTCAGGTGGGCACTGAAGGCTGGCATTAGGCCTGCCAGATTCTGAGGGCCGCCTCTAACCCCTCACCTGCCAATGTGCAGAACACCGTCCGCCGACTGACTTTGCATCGTCCCTCGGCCCTCGATGTGCCCCATGCTCCACCCGCCTCTCGAGTGTCCGAGCAGGGAAGCCTTCCTGCAGGGGCCCGGCTCTCCTGACGTCCAACCACTCAGGTTCCTCGCGCCCTGCCCTTGTTCTGGCCCAGGTGATGGTTCTGCCCCTCCTGATCTCTTGCTCCGGGCTCTGGTCCCTGTGCTGGCTTGCATCTTCCTCAGAACTCAGAGCATCAGCCACACCAGCTGTTCTCTGATGACCCCCTGTGTGCCTGGCACCACGCTGGGCTGGTGGAGCAGCCGTAAGAGTGGGCTTCACAGGGCTCACACGGCAACAGGGGGAGGGCCCAGAGAAGGCAGCCAGGAAGAAACCACAGGAGAAACCAGCAAGGTAGCTGGGAGGGATGGTCAGGGCTGGGGAGACATCTCCATGGAGGTGACACCCGCAAAGGCCTGAACTACACGAGGTTATGGGGAGACTGTCCCAGGCAGATAGAGCCACTGGGCCAAAGGCTGGAGCGTGGAATTCGGTGGTGTCACGGAGCATCAAGGAGCCAGCGTCTGGACAGTGGGGAGGGGAGCAGGGGCCTGGACCCTGCGGAGAGAGTGGGTGATGGGAACTGTCAATGCTTTCAGTGATATGATTGACAATTCAGCCCGTGTGCGCAGTGGCTCCTGCCTGTGATCCCAGCCCTTTGGAAGGCTGAGGTGGGAGGACTGCTTGAGCCCAGGAGTTTGGGACCAGCCTGAGCAACACAGGGAGACCCTCATCTCAAAAAAAAAAAAAAACTCCCAAAAAACCCCCAAAATAAATAAATAAAATAAAAATTCAAAACATTTCACTGGGAATTCAGTCCTTGCTCAACTGTGCTAGGTAGGCAGGTGCCCCTGTGGGGATGGCACCTCGGTGGCCCAGTGGAGGTCAGAGGCCACAGAGGGTGAGGAGTGGGTAGCATACAGTGGGGTGGAAGAGAGGATGAGAGACTGGTTACACAGGAGATAATCAGAGCCGGGTTCCTCACTCTCAAAGCAGGATGCCCCTCATTCGGAACAGGTTGAGCCCTGCAGTGGCGGCCTGGCATCAGAGTAAATGTGTGGCGCCCAAGAAAATCATAGACAAAAACACCCATGAAACTGTGTGTATACGTATGTGTGGGAGCATGTACATAGATGTGCTCTCTTGCTCCACCAGCTGCAAGGACACCCCAGCAGCAATGAGCACACCCGGGACCCCATCCTGGGCTCTGCACGACATTCTCCCACAATGAACCAGGTTGCCAGCAGAAATAGCTGGGTTCAGGCTGGGGCAGGGAGAATACGACAGGACCCTGGAGCATCCAGTGCCAGAAATAAAGGCCTCCGGGAATGCCGCGGACAAGTGAAGTGGGAGGGAGACAGAAGGGTGGGAAGGCATGGGTTCCCTGTCTGGTGGAGGCTCCCCGGAGGGGGGAAGCGCGTGGCAGGGAGGGCAGGCGGCGGACCGCTTTCTCACACAAGCGTCATGCACGCAAAATGAGAAGCAAAACGCCAGTTGAGAGAGGCGGGTGGTATCCCAGGGTGTGGAGAGAGTAGGTGGGAAATAGGCGTTGGGGGTGGGGTGGCGTGGCCCCTTGAGGTTGTGGCCCTGGTTGAGGGGAGGCGCAGGGGATGAGGCTGGGTCTTTCTCCCTTTCCACTGTGCTGGTGCAGGCCTGGAGGAAAACGGACGCCAGGTTTGGTGTGGAAGGGGAGCTCGGAGGGGATGAAGGCCCAGGCGGGTGGAAGAGCAGGGCGCTGGCTGGGGAGGAGCAGAGTGCAGAAGCCGGGGGTGAAGGGCAGCCGGAGCTCAGCTGGAAAGACAGCAGGAGGCGGTGGGCGCAGGGGCGGCTTCCATGGACGTTCTGGAGGCTTCTGAGGACATCAAGCCTGGAAGCCAGGACATGTGGCCTTCTTGACTTCGTTCCCCTTCCTCACCTGGGGTCTCCGGTCCCCGCTGTCCACTGCTCAGCGGCTTGGGAGGGGTCCGCGGCCTCCGCTCCTGCCAGGCGGCCCTGCCCACAGCAGCGAGAGGAGCCACGGGGCGCTGCCCTCCTCCGCAGCCCGAGGCCCACCTCACACGCACTGAGCCCACGCGCGGGTCTCTGCCCGCCAGCCCCGTCTGAGCTCGCCGCACTCCCTGCTTGAGAGCCCGGGGGGCACCTGCGCCTGCCCGGGACCCCGACCTGCTCGCGGGGCCCGGCGCCTCCTCTGCAGGCAACGACCTCGCCCGCGGTGCCCCTACTCGCCCCGTCCCCGGAGGGACCGCCCCCGCCCGCGGCCTTCCCCGCCCCGTCCCTTGAGTGACCCCCGCCCGCCGTTACCCAACCACCGCCCCCGGAGGAGCCCCCGCCCGCGGTTACCCAACCTTACGCTGTCCCCGGAGGGCTCCGCGCCAGTGTTCCCCCCGCCCCGTCCCGTCTCCGAGGGCCCACTGCCCCGGTCCCCATCCCGCTCGGTCCCCGTAGGGCCGGGCCGCCGGGGGGGGTCTCCTGAAGCAGCGGTCCCGGAGGACAGACAGCAACACGGCCTCTTTAAGCCGCTCGGACACGCGCTCGGGCCCGTTGCGAGTTGCAAGCTCGCAGGCGTGCGCGTGCCCGTCGGGCCTAGCGAGCGCGCGCGACGCGCGACGTGCGTGGTGACGCGAACGCGTGGGGTTTCCCGAGACTGCGGGCAGGGGCCCGCCGCGCCCATCCCGATGGCTGGAGGCGTCTGAGGGGCGGACGGAGGCGGCGGCGGCGGCGGCGGCGGGAGCGGGAGCGGGAGCGGGCGCGGGCGGCGAGTGGGGAGCGGGGTCTGGAGTGGAGCAGCCGCCGCGGCGGGAGTGGACCGAGCCTTGCCGGTGCGCACCTGCCCGCAGCGCCCGCGGAGCGCGCAGCGCGGCCCGAGCGCGACGACCTCCCGAGCAGCGGCCGAGGCGGCGGTGCGGGCGCGTCAGGCCGCGACGAGGGCGCTGAGGTGAGCGCGGCAGCCCCCAGCCCCGGACCCGGCCTCAGTTCGTCCACCGGCCCGCCCAGGGGGCGCCCGCCCCGCCCCCACCGCACCCGCCGGCCGGGGCCGCGTCTTCCTGCCCCGCCCGGGTGCGGCGGGCGGCGGGCGGCGTCCGAAGGCGGGGGCCGGGAGCTGGGGTCCGAGGTTCGGGGTGCAGGGTCGGGGTCGAGGGCGGGGTCTCGGGCGAGGAGCCGGGGTCCGAGGCCCAGGGCTGGGGGCCAAGTTTCGGCCCCGGGGTGCGGGGCTGTGCGCGCCGCGGGAGCTTCCCGTGGCGGCGGCCGGGGCCTCGGGGGCGCGGGTCGGGCGGGGCCGGGCCCTGCGTGGGGAGCCGGACGTGGCGCTCGGGCCCTCGGCGCGAGAACAAAGGCCGGGCGGGCGTGCAGGCGGGGCGGTGTCGGCGGCCGGAGCCCCCGCGCGGGCCGCCTATCGGGGTGACTTTGAGGGCCGGGCGGCCGCAGGGGGCGAGCGCGGGGAAGGGGAACAATGAAATGGGGAAGCCGGGCCGCGCGCCGCGGGCGGAGTGGGGATTTAAAGCGGAAGCCGGGCGCGGCGTCGGGAAATGGGAAAATAACGGTTTCGGCCCTTTCGCTGTGCCGAGTCGCGGAGACGGCCGCGCTGTGGCCTCGCCCTTCTCCTGCCGAGGCCGGGGTCTGTCTGACGCCGGCGCCCCGCGCGTGTCGGCCGGGGTGTTGCGCGGACCCCGGCCCGGGCCCGCGAATGAATGGGCCCGGTGGCCGCGCCAAGATGGCGCTCCCGGCCGTGCCTTTGTGGGGCGGCCGCCGCCGCTCCGAGTTTCGGGGCCCGGTTTGCGATATTCCGAAGGCCCGAAGGTGGGGGAGAGGACAGGAAATAGCACAAAGGCTGGGTGTCTTCCTCCTGCCTGGATCGGCTTTTCGGCTGGAAGCTGGGTGGGGGTGGGGAGTGGGGAGCTGAAAATTCCACACGGCTGCCGGCTGAGGCTTTTGACTTTTAAGAACCTCCTATATTTTTCCCTGTCAATCGATAGTTGGTTCAAATGGTATTTTAACATTTCTTGTGTCTTTTAAATTACATGGTTAGCATGCAGAAGCAGTGTCAGTTTTGTTTGCTAAATTCATTTGCATGGAAGCCTTTTTTTTTTTAAATAATAGAGATTAACCAGGCTGGTCTCGAACTTTGGGGCTCAAGCGATCCTCCCGCCTCAGCCTCCCAAAGTGCTAGAATTAGAGGCCTGAGCCACCATGTCCATCCTGTCTTCATGGAAGGTTTTTGTTAGGATTGTGAAATGCATTTATTGAAGGAAAACGCCGATGTTAAAATTTGTGTTTTGAAAAGGGAGTTGGTGTGCATTTACAGTTAGGGTGTACAGTACTCGACTTATGGATAAACAGTGTAGAAATCTTAACCTACGGTTTTCGTTTGGGGAGCATTGGTTCATTGTATTTTCAGGTTGCTATCTATCTGATAACAGTAGTCTCAAATAGTATTAGGTGATTAAGCAGTTGCTGGTGAGATTATTAAGAAAATATGAAGATTATTTTTCATGATTAGCAAATGGATGTATTAGTTTTGTGAAAAGTCCCAGTGAACCATGCATACTGAATAAGGCCTTTGGAGCAAGCATTGTTATCGATAAGGTTTCTGCATAAGTTATTTTCTAATCTGAAGTGATAGTCTTTTGGGAGAGGGAGGAGCTGTTTATTGAATGTAAGGTTTTAATTTTCATGCTATTGAGATATATAGTTTATTCTGGATTCTTTGGGAAGGTATATATATCAGGAAAGTGAATAGGCGGTTCCTTCTTTCTTTGCTAACGCTGGGTGCGTGGCTGGGGATGAAGCTGGTGCCACTGACATGGAGACAGGTCTGAGAGCCTCCCCAGGGTAGGACTGAGTGGTGGGTTTTGGCTTGGTTTATGGTAAGGCAGAACTTTATTATTATTATTTTTTTTTGAGATGGAGTTTCGCTCTTGTTGCCCAGGCTGGAGTGCAATGGTGCGATCTCAGCTCATTGCAACCTCTGCCCCCCAGGTTCAAGTGATTCTCCTGCCTCAGCCTCCCGAGTAGCTGGGATTACAGCTACTGCCACCACACCCAGCTAATTTTTTGTATTTTTAGTAGAGATGGGGTTTCACTATGTTGGCCAAACTGGTCTTGAACTCCAGACCTCAGGTGATTCACCCACCTTGGTCTCCCAAAGTGCTGGGATTACAGGTGTGAGCCACCGCGCCCGATGGTTAAGGCGGAACTTTCTGACAGAGAGCTGCGCAGAAATGAACTGCAACTCCAAGGTCTACAGGCTCATCCTGTCAACCCTAGGGGAAGGCTGGACTGCCGGTGGTCCCAGGTTAGGAGCGTTTGGTTTCGTCAACACTGAAAGTCCCTTTTTTTTTTTTCTTTCAGACATTGAGAGTTGGAAAACCAGTTAAATTCTGAGGTGCCTGTGCCCCCTCCCAGTTAAGCACGCACTGCCCAGGCCCAGTGTGAGGATGACATTTCATCTTCTGCTGGAACCTTTCAAGATGAGTTTTATAGAGGAAACTGTTCCAACATTAAATTTCAGCTCAGAATTAACTTTCTCAAAAGAGCACATCCACTGGACAAAAGCTATTTCTCTCGCATAATCTGAATTTATGACACAGCCATAGTTATCTCATCAGACAAGTACTGACAGTGCTCTTCAGTGATACCTTTAAAATGTTTTTATTTTTCTTCGATATCTTCAGTTAATTGTGTTTTTGGGGGGGGTGGGAGAGTTGAAGTAAATTTTCTCAGGTTTAATTTTGATCTTAGAAGATTCCAGAGGCTGCAGAATAGTGTGTTTTTTGTTGTCGTTTGCTTTTAAGCTTAAAACCCACTGGGTGTGGTGGCTCACGCCCGTAATCCCAGCACTTTGGGAGGTGGGGAGGATCACATGAGGCCAGGAGTTTGAGGCCAGTCTGGCCAATATGGTGAGACCCTGTATCTACTAAAAATATAAAAATTGGCGGGACGCGGTGGCTCACGCCTGTAATCCCAGCACTTTGGGCGGCTGAGGCGGGTGGATCACGAGGTCAGGAGATGGAGACCATCCTGGCTAACACGGTGAAAACCCGTCTCTACTAAAAATAGAAAAAATTAGCCAGGCGTGGTGGCGGGTGCCTGTGGTCCCAGCTACTCGGGAGGCTGAGGCAGGAGAATGGTGTGAACCCGAGAGGTGGAGCTTGCAGTGATCCAAGATCGCGCCACTGCACTCTAGCCTGGGCAACCGGTCCAGACTCGTCTCAAACAAACAAAAAGCCGGGCGTGGTGGTGGGCGCCTGTAATCCCAGCTACTTAGGAGGCTTAGGCAGGGGAATCGCTTGAACCCGGGAGGCAGGGATTGCGGTGAGCTGAGATTGCGCCACTGCACTCCAGCCTGGGTGACAGAGTGAGACTGTCTCAAAAGAGTTAAACCTCTGTAAATCTTTTTTATGCCCAATGACTTCGGTTTCAAAGCTTGTACCATGTAGGTAGATTTATATTGATCACTTGAGAAATAGAATTTGAGGAGTTAATTTATTTCTCAAAGGAGGTGTTGTACTATCCTGCAAAAGTACCAGAGCTTTGTTCTCTTCCCTTTGCTTTGTTAAAAATTTTCTGTGTCTTTTGGTTCATTTTCTGTGTGTGTTGGTCCACTGGAAAAGTTGTAGCTTTGTAGCTAAATACCGCTTTGATTAAAGGATGAAAAAGGTCTTCAGGGCATCTGTAGACTCATCTACCATCAGTTGACTTTTTGTAGCTAATACTTTAATGAATAACGTTGATTTTATTTTAGAAGTGCAGTGTTGGCATTTATTGTAGTTTTGTCGTTGGATTGTTTGTCTCTGCCCAAAAGATTTGGCTCATGTTGGTCCCTAAATTGGATTACATTCTTACTGTCTGTGACTTTGGCTTTAGCATTAGTGGATTGGTAATAGATATTCTCAATTTTTAAATCTGGCTTGACCATATGGCAGGCCATGTTATTTTGAAACCCCTATTTAGTGTAAGTCTCATAAGACATGTAACACAAATTTTTAGAAAATTTTAAACTGGTTTGGCTGGGCGTGGTGGCTCATGCCTGTAATCCCAGCACTTTGGGAGGCCGAGGCAGGTGGATCATGAGGTCAGGAAATTGAGACTACCCTGGCTGACACGGTGAAACCCCGTCTCTACTAAAAATACAAAAAATTAGCTTAGTGTGGTGGTGGGCACGTGTAATCCCAGCTACTTGGGAGGCTGAGGCAGGAGAATGGCGTGACCCGGGAGGCAGAGGTTGCAGTGAGCCGAGATCGCGCCAGTGCACTCCAGCCTGGGCGACACAGTGTGACTCCGTCTCAAAAAAAAAAAATTTTAAACCGGTGTTTAAATTCTGATTTCAGGTTTGCGTTTGTTAAGAGTGGTTGGAGAGATTATGAAGTAGGCAGTTCAGTTAAGTGTTTGGTTTAGGAACATAGAATGAAGAGATAAAATAGATTTAAAATGGAAACTATCAGAAATAGTTGATGAAACTGCAGTGTTCAACGTTACTGAAAGAAAAAGCAGGACAAACATATATGGGAGTGTGTATGAAGAGAAAGAGAAATACAACATCACATCAGCTACTCTGGGAGAGGGAGGGAGCACTGCCTCTTTCAAAGCTGTGTATTTTGTTCCAGAATTTTGATTGAAGAAATATAGACAATCTATAGACATTTGAGTTTGCTAGTGGATTAGTGGAATGCTGAAAGCTTTTTTTGTTTTGAGACAGAGTCTCACTCAGCCGCCCAGGCTGGAGTGTAGTGGCGCAGTCTCAGCTCACTGCAACCACCGTCTCCCAGGTTCAGGTGATTCTCCAGTCTCAGCCTCCCGAGTAGCTGGGATTACAGGCACCCGCTGTGAAGCCCAGATAATTTTTTAAAATTTTATTTTAGTAGAGACAGGGTTTCACCATGTTGACCAGGCTGGTCTTGAACTCCTGACCTCAGGTGATCCGCCCGTCTCAGCCTC